TACCCTTCCTGCATCATACCCCTCCCACAATACACCCAGTATCACCTACAACCTCCATCTGTTTGGGATTAGCTACCCTTCCTGCATCATACCCCTCCCACAATACACCCAGTATCACCTACAACCCCCATCTGTTTGGGATTAGATGCTAAATTTGGCTGACACCCCTTCATCATGTTTTTATAACAGCAACACTGTTTATGAGCTCTGACTTAGAACCTGCTGCCAGTCAGGCAGGACATGCTTATCCTTTTAACAAGCGCTTGGTGGTTTTCTGTTCTTATAATTTTAATTGTTTCTGAAGTGAGTCATGACTGGTTATTCTTTACCACTGACATTTCATATTTAAACAAAATTCACTTGTATATCCATTTATCCTTAATCATCACCACAATAATGAAATAGCACTAAAAGATCAATATATTCTATCAGGACTTAAACTAACTGATCTGGAAAGAAGCCAAGCTGACAGTTTGGCACATACCATCAGCTGATAAATGTCACGAAGCCTTTCAATCTGTCCATGTACATCAGTATATTCCTCCAACAAGGAGTCAAGCGTCATGCTCCCTGCCGTTTTGGTATGAGTGTGTGTGTTTAGATTAATGCCGCTTTTAGCACTATTCCAGCAACATCACGGCAGGGGACACCAGAAAAGGGCTTCAGACATTGTACCCATGAAGGGAATCGAACTCGGGTATTTGGTGTGATGGGCAAATGCTTTAACCACTAGGCTACCACCCCTGTCTTGACATGAAATATAGGAAGCAACATACATCATCTGCTTCTCTGCCATCAAATGCATGATTTGGATGAACACATCAGTACAGAAGAGATGCACCAACTCTGTCCACAGATATGATTAAGCAGACATTTTGAATTTTGTTTTTAAACACGGCTAAACCCTTTGGGTCACTACTAGCTTTTCTGCAGTATTGATTGGTCCAAATTCTGTCAACATATCAAAATACATGAAAACTCAATACTACTGACAATCGAGTTGGTCCTTTAACATATAGCAAACTGCTTCAAGCAACAGCATTTGATGCAGATTTGAATTCCTCAGGTTGCAAGGATACCTAATTCTCCAGTCCAAACTCCCTACATTGAATGATGAAAAATGTTTTCAGGATTTGTGTTGGTAGGACAATGTTGGAGAAGCACAGCTTCACCCTCAAGCCAGATTTAGAATTTCAATTAAGGCATAGCCCATAATGTAAAACCTTGCCAAGTCAACGCATCTCTGACCAATTGATCCCCAACATGAGTTCATGCATGATATGATGATAGTCAAGGATTGCCACAGAAATAAATCTGAGAGAGACAGCAATGGTCACAATGACCTTGCTGATACAACAAGCTGGCCTTTGTGTAGCCACTTAATTACCTTTGTCTCAGTATCTCCAGTTCAACAGTTCTGGAGGGGAGGTTTGACAAATCCTTTTGTGGACAAATACGGAAATTCTGCCAGTGAGAAAAGTCAAGGCCAATCTGGACGATTGTATCTATAAGTGGATCACAATACGTTCTGATCATCATGGTTTTTGTCATAAGGTCAAGGCCTTGTCACAATATGGACAATCATAACAATCAGTAGAATAACAATACATTCTGATCATCACGGCAAAATTCTAACCTTTTATGCCTCGTACGACAAATGCGGTCCCTACCGTGGCTTCTCTATGTCCAATTCATTTCGAAAAAAAATACCATCCTAAAAAGCCTCTGAATGGTTACAATTGATTAGTAAATGAGTTCATTGCCATCTTCATTAATTGTATCAGGGACTAATAAAAAGAAACATAACATTTTCTTTGCTTTGACACAGGCTGCCGGCCGTGTTTTTTTCCTTTCCCCTCCATACAGCACAATTTGCATGTATCCGTTTCTCACCTATCAATCATCACATACTTAAAGGAGAATACTAAACAATTGCAATAATTTGCTGGGTGAAAAATAAAGTCATCAGAAACATGTACCCCAATTTGTATTTCAAAAATATGGTTTATTATGTTTTTATCGCGAAAACAGTTTCTGTTATCTGAGTTTCGGCCATTATGCATATTCCGCTGGAACCCCGTGACCTTTCCGCTCATGACGTCATATGTGACAAGCGTCCGCCATATTGCCAAAGAACAAGCACTACAGAAATACAAATCGTGTTGTTTCTGTCGTTTTTGTAAATGGTACGATGGTGTATTCCATTGCCTGGGGATGCACAGAATCATCGGACAATGGAAAGCGCCACAATTTCTTCCGTTTTCCAAGTAAAGAGACAGATTTAGGCAGGGGAAATGTTCCGATCATACTCCATCATTCCCTGTCACAAAATACTGTCAGCGGTATTTTTAACATAAATTAGATATGATAGAGACTTAAATACATGGGGATGAAAATCCTATTTAAAATGATTAAAAAGCTGGGCTTTGAAGAAGGATAATAGTTTACTATGGAACATTTATCAGAAATATTACTAATGCTTTTACATTAAGAACATAATATCAAAGTTGACAAAAACTATGCATTTACAGCATATATTTAATCATTTTAAATAAATTTGACCAAATTAGAATGAATGACTAAATTTGCTGGGGCATTTTGTAGCTGGGGCAGTTCGACTGGTACCCATGAGATATATATTATCAAAATCAGTAAGAAATTTCACATGAGCTTGAAAATGTTTCGCTATAGATCTAACATTCTTTTCGGTTTGGAGCCCTAAATGCTGCAGTCTACCTGAAACATTGCCGAATACAACGGCAAATCATGAAGTACTTGTTGCTTTCATTTTTTTCCATTTTGTTCCATTACGTCGGCATCAGACTCTTTATTTGTCAGTAGTGTGTGCCGTGAAAGTTGTTCTGTATTGTCATTGGCTGATAAGATGTCATTCTAAGGCTATGACCGAGTACCATAACTATTTCCATAACCAAACACTGGGGAAACATACATTGTCCTGACTAGTATTTTATAATTCACCAGTTTTCGGGGAATAACCTATCTGCGTCGCGAATATTATCTCTGCTCCACCAGGCTGGGATCTTGTATGGAGACTTGATATGTTATTAATGAGAACTAGAATCCTAATTTTTTTTCAACAAAATAAATCCAGTGTAATTTTTGTAGGAGATAATTTCTATTTTCCCCCCGTCTGAAGTATAATTATTTTGTTTTTAAATCGCAGACACCCTACAGTCACCCATTTGACACAAAAGGAACAGCAAGCACATTTAAAAAAAATAATTCATAGGGACTGGTCATATATTTATAGGGGTGGGTTTGCTGGTTGGAACTGTATCACCTTTTGCTGACAAATAGTATTCTTGTTAAATGATATGGTCTATTTTAAAATTTATTTTGAACTCAAGCGGTGCCTCCGTTTCGCTTGATTCTTCTTCTTCATCCTCACTGGAAGATTGTCTTGCAAGATGAAAAATCGGATCGTACTGATACGGTCTAACATCCATTTCAGAAATGACATCAGGAACATCTTTTACTGCTTCAAAATCCATGGACACTGTTAAGTTGTGAGGTAAAATCAGAGAGGAAGCCATCAGCAACAAGCACATATGACGTCATGTCATGTGATACCCCCTCCGCTCATTAACTGTCGGGTGTTTCCGTAATAGGCGGAAATACGAGTACGTTTTTTGTGTTTTTATTGCTATTTTACAAACTTTTTGCTCAATTTTAATCACGGAAGGTGACTTTTAGAATATCCTTTACAATATATCAAAAGTTTTGTTTTCGTTCGTATTCCCCTTTAACAACCGATGGTCCATATTAACCAGTTGTGAGGCCTCTGGAAGGAACTCCAACAAAGTTACTCATGAAGCAGCAACGTAGCTCACATACTTGGCTACACAAGGAAATGTTGTGTTTCAAGTAGTAGGAAGTATCACAACAGTTGTATTCATAACAACATCAAATAAGAATGGTTCACTCAGGTATGTTGTTTTCCCCATTTAATTGCTCAAAGCAATAATTATATTCAAAGTTTTTTCACACAATGAAAAGTGAGCCTGAAGAATCCCATGAGGTTGAGAACAAGCAGCTTTTACGAGTATTGGGGGAAAACACTGCAAGGCCATGGCCTGGAATGAACACTTTCCATGATTAGTTTGTGAGAGGATGTTACTTCTGATAACTGTTCTGTCAAATGTATGCTTCAACAATCAGCGGATGACAACTCATGTGGCAGCGTCAGCGGAATGAGGTCTAGCGTCATCCTCACTGAAGGTTCCCCACAGGTAGTGTGAACTAGCAGGAGTCTGATTCTGCTGTATATTCTCATTACTATACATATAGAATTACTGTTTTTCTGTTGCAATAGTCGTAATTCAAACAATCTTTATTGGACCCTCGACATAGCGTGAGCCTGCAATATCCTCTACAGGATGGGGAAGAATGACACCAGTTCTTTCAAGGAATGCAATACTGAGTAAGGCTACGACTTTGACTGACATCCCACTCGAAGCATTTTTTTATTTAAGACAAGCAGACTTTGTAAAATGCAAATGTTTTCATAATGACCAAATCATAAATACATTCTTACCATCAAAACTTGTACAAATACATTCTCAATAATTGATAACCTTTTATCTCCTTTCAACAAAAGCTGTTAGATATTGGAATTCTATTGCCCTAAATCGAGTGTAGCCATACTTGTAGCCAACGGGAAAGGAGAGTCCGCATTGCTGGCTTACATGTCCAGCTAGCTTGTTTGCTGACATCACACATGTTTGCATGTAGAACAAAGTGGGATATAATAGTATCCCTTTCCAGAAGAATTTATACTAAAATATTACTTTAAACAATAAAATATATTTATCTCTTTTCAACTAATATTTGTTAGATCATATCTGAAAAACAAGAAGTTAGAGTTGGGCCAAGGCAGTTTTGACTTATTCTTTGCTTTGTTCCAAATATTCAGACTGGAGTCTGAACCAGGAGAATTTGTCCCCTGTACAGCAGTACTGGTTTGTGCAGAAGGTACTCACCATTAGGGAAGGCCAGCACACTGATGATGAGGAAGAAGAAGACAAGGCAGCAGATGCCGCTCCAGATGTTCTCCTCGGGTAGGCTGTCATCTCTGTAGGCAGAAGATACACTGATATTTAGTCACAGAAATATAGTTACCTTAATTAAAATTACCGAATAAAATATTTAGCCATCAAACAAATCTAAATAGAGCAGAAAACAATGTTCAGTTCCTGAACTGAGGCAATCTAGACTTGCAAAATCATTATAGACTTGAGTAGGACACCTATCTAACTTATTCTCGAGGGTCTGGGAGAGACTCACCAAATGAGTGAGTGAGTGAGTGAGTGAATGAGTGAGTGAGTAATGTGTGTAATACAGTTCCATAAATGTTTGACAATTCACAACCGCATGCTTCTCAGATATTTGCAGAAAACTTTTTGTGACATGTTCTATTGGTACATTACCAGTATACCAAGTTTCAAGTAATACAGAACTGGTGTATTGTGTAAAAAGAGCATAAAGATCTTGTGATTATCTCGATGGTTTTATATAGTGTAAAACATACACAGACTGTCATTCAAAACTGATGTTTTCCTTTGTAATTCATTGACAAAACAGAATACTTTACATACTATAAATTGTAAGAAGAAGATTGTTAGAATTGTTAGAAAGCTGTTTTCAGAGCCATAACATTTATTTTTAGGGCCTTAGTATGTACAAAATAGGATCTGCCAGTACAATCAGTGTCATTGAATGTCAAACACTCTATCTCCCAATATATTGCAATACAGATACCCATACACATACACACGCATGCACGTCGTCATATGAGCGAAATATTCTCAAGCACGACATTAAACCCAATTTCACCTCACCTCACCTTATACATACTAATCAAGGGTACATGTCAATACCTTCCTTCACATTTACATGAAGTAGGTCCAACAATCAGCATCAGTGATGGTTCTCCATCATGTATATTGATAAATCTATAACTATCAGAGGACAAAATAACAGTTGTGCAGTTGTACCCTATGTGCTAAAACTATGATAAAGGTCACTGATTAATGTCTGCAGAACATATTCATCATGAGGCACTTAAAGGCCTATCTCGTTCCATGACCACTTCATATAGATGTTGCAGTGTCAACATCTACCAGTATAAACATATTTTGTGAGGTATTTATTGACCTGCACCAAATTTCCAGAACTTAAAACTGCTACAATTTGTGATTCTAGTAAAAATATTTTTTACTTTGTCTCCTATTCATTCAACCCCTGATCACTGGGGAAATGTGCTGTGTTATCAAGTACTTTTACTTACATTTTGAAAAGCTCATGTTTTAAAATGTTGACACTTTCAAAACATGTCCTTCAATCAACTTTGGGTTCAGATACTTTAAAACTTCTTGGCGATAGCCGAAAATAATTAGCAAAGCTGTTTGCCATTGAATATTTATTGTCCACTTCACAAACAAACACCACAATGGTTGATATTGTGAGAATAAGACAATACGGATTAATTAGTAACATGTGAAAGGTCTAGCTATGTCTGGGTTTTCACAGCCTGTGCATTCGAAGTTCTGAGAATTCCATACAAGACCTTTCACTTGCATGTTTACAGAACATGAAACCGCTGGAGGTCAAAGCTGTCAATGTTATTTATTTCTGTAAAAACGGAGCCACCACGCTCATCTGACCACAGGATGATCATTGTCCTCATCAAACATGTACAAATATCAGACCTTGCTTGTTCCTAATTATCACTAGAAATTACCACCATATGGGTGCAGTTACTTATCAGAATTTGGTTTGCTCAATTTCAATACATGTAGCACAGTCACTGAAATGAACAGATTTGAATTGTCTCTTAATATATAACAGAAAAGTGCCTAAAGAATTGCTTCATCCTGAAAATGCAGAATGTAGATTTGCAATCATGACCAAAGTATGGTCCACTGGCATGGGACGTTTTATGTATTATTGTTTGAGGGCTTAAGAGAATATGTAAGAACTTTTGCAAAACAATAAATTAAGACATGGCAATGCCTATGTTGTTTTACCCCCCTTACCCTTACACTCATAGCTTATAGGGTTAACAATTCCAGCAACACTACCACAGACATTGGAATAGCCCCATGTTCCATGGATGACACATCCTGGCTTGGATATATTGCATTTTCAGATCTGTTTGATAAGCAACAGCAAATTTTAAGTAGAAACATGCCTTTTTAATACATTTATGAACATTTCGTTCTAGTGACCCCAAACAACAAATTGAATTTATGAAGAGATATGGTTCGATTCACTGAATACATGAGTGATTCGTAACAGCTCTAATCAATATACTTCCATAATTAACAATGAAGCTCAATTTATTGAGTTTCATATATATATTGCGATCATATCAATACTCCACACACACACACACAAAAGAATATTGAAATAATTAAACAATAAAATACAGTGAGTTGAAGCAACACTGCACATAGCATGAAATTAGTTATAGACTCTGCAGCTGTTCAGGATGCTGAAGGGTGAGTGAACATCCATTCCAGAATATTGGTTGATACTAGAGCTGGTTATTGTTACATTTTGTCAGAACGATAATCGCTAGTGTCAGATCGATAATCGATCGATTATAATCGTTTGGACATCATTTCATAGTCAAATACCTACGTTAGCGAACTAACTTCCGGGATGTTGTCAGCACGTGTCAATTGTTAATGCTAGCAAGTTATCTTTGGATCATCAAGTATCCTATCGTCTTACGTTTCCGATTGTTATATGTTTTTGATCGGCCATTACAATTCTCACTTATAGCACGAAAATGCGAGAAAACCCATGAGAAGCATCCCGAATGACAACAAGGCGATCCCCGTTCTGCCATCGATATGCTACGAATCAAGTTGCCATGCGTAGGCAACAGTATACAAACTCACAAAAGATTAAGTTTAACTCCGGGATCCTTAATGCAATATCTACCTCATAATCAAATGCACAAAAATCCTAAATCTTTACTCCAAAGATGCCATTAAAGTTTCGTCTGCTTAGTTGACATCCCACCTTACAAGATCACGCTACTAGTCATGTGACCTCGCTGGTACCAGTGGTAGATTTATTTTCATGGCATGCCATTTTTTAAAAAACTTTTAGTTTATGTTGAAGGGTAAACAAAGAAATTTCCTTAAGGTTGAAACACAAAATTTATTCTGGGAAGTATTATAATTAACCACTGTAACGAAAGTTCAAGAGAATTCATGAAACTGAAAATAGCTCTATTTTACCCACCTTCCGTAAGTCACGTGTTTGTATGCAAATGCAACTCAAGGAATTCCCTCTTTCAGCCAATTAGAAAGTTGCTAATCTGTAATACCTGGGTCGTATTGTGACGTTTTGTTGCATGATTGGACGAAGGAGGTTTTCTATAAACCACTTTACAACTCATAGTATTTCAATGACGAAATAGGACACCCCAATCTAAATATATCTAGCATTGCCATTGGCTGACAGGGGAGGCATGCGTACTTGTGTACTACACAGCTTCCGTTTAAGAGGTAAACAAGCAATGACAACCAGAGTGTTCAGTATAAGAAAACATGACAAGGTAGAATAAATTTTTTTAATGTATGTGCATCCAAATAATGATTATTTCCGATTATCGATCTGCAGTTTATTTGTAATCGACAATCGTTTATTTTGACTTAGATCGAACAATTAACCGATCCTACGATTAATCGCTCCAGCACTAGTGATACAGATTTGTACTTCATGGATCGAACATTGCTTTATGTCTTTTTAAAAAGGTACTCATTGTCAAATTCAAACCTAAATCTCTTCCCAGATTAACTAGGATTCGGTAGAACACTAATGCTTCCAGCAATGATAATGTAACTGAGATGTGCAAAAGCAGCTTTGAAGTTTAACTTATAACATGCAGCATTATTGCATACACTCAAGGATATTGGTAAGAACATTTATGTTTCACATTTAAAAAGTAAAAGATACACTTGCTTGTAGATAGGGTGAAATTCAAAGCCTAAGCATTATGTTGTCAAGGACTTTTCAAGACAAATTAAAAAAATCCATGGTCTTTTCAAGGCACATTTAAAAATATTAAGGCATTTCCGACTCATCCGACTCTGTAGTAAGCGATGAGTGTTGCTGTTACCGACATTCACCTGATCTACCAGCTGCTTCAGCTTGTTCTTATCCACCTTAGGTTTCTGTAAATGATTTTAAAGTGCTTAAACAGTGCAATGCTACGATAGCCCATATGCTCACACAAAATGACAATAAGGCAAAGAATTGAGTTTCAGCCTGCAGATTCAGAAGTACAGACAAACTGACAGTAGTGGTAAACAGAAAAGACTGCATTTCTAAACAGTTTTCTTGCTGCACGACTATTAGTTGGTACCGTAAATGGTTGTTACTCAACCTGTACAATCTAGTTGTCTGATAAACCGAGAAGGCATCACACCTCCTAGCCCTTACTGTAAAGAGATTGCTTCAATGAAGAAACTACAGATTTACCCAGGTTTTACATATACAATCTCACTGGGGCTCATTTTCAATTCAAATTTTCTGGTCAACATGGTATATACAGAAGAAACATTGGAGTGGAGGACATGTCTCGGAGGACCTAAACCTGTCTGGCTGTCAATGTAGCATGTTCTCAACCTCCACATGCTGGAGTTATCTGAAACCATCAAAGCCAAACTAAAGCCTATCATTCAGCCACAGTGTATCAACACATGAAGTACCTGTTTCCTTTGTAAATAAATGTGATAACTAATCACTAGACCTCAACCACTGAAGATCACTTGACACAGACTGTGATGTGGCAATGGTCAAGAAAGAGGATCTGTCTCCTGAGTATAGTACGTCTACTGGCTGAATGTTTATCAGCTGTATAGTCTTCCTGTAGGGTACATGTTTTACCATAAGAGAAGATTACCATACAAAATGTATCAAATCACCCTTTTGGGGATATTTATTTCTACAATTAATCCTTGTGCTAGTAGCTTGCAATATATTATCACCTCTTTTTCCAGAAAGTCCCCAAATTTATAGTTCAATTCATTATTGCAATTGAGAATGGTGGCAATG